ATACATACATACATACATACATACATACATACATACATACATACATACATACATACATACATACATACATACATACATACATACATACATACATACATACATACATACATACATACATACATACATACATACACATACATACATACATACATACATACATACATACATACATACATACATACATTACATACATACATACATACATACATACATACATACATACATACATACATACATACATACATACATACATACATACATTACATACATACATTACATACATACATACATACATACATACATACATACATACATACATACATACATACATACATACATACATACATTACATTACATTACATACATACATACATACATACATACATACATACATACATACATACATACATACATACATACATACATACATACATACATACATACATACATACATACATACATACATACATACATACATACATACATACATACATACATACATACATACATACATACATACATACATACATACATACATACATACATACATACATACATACATACATACATACATACATACATACATACATACATACATACATACATTACATACATACATACATACATACATACATACATACATACATACATACATACATACATACATACATACATACATACATACATTACATACATACATACATACATACATTACATACATACATACATACATACATACATACATACATACATACATACATACATACATACATACATACATACATACATACATACATACATACATACATACATACATACATACATACATACATACATACATACATACATACATACATACATACATACATACATACATACATACATACATACATACATACATACATACATACATACATACATACATACATACATACATACATACATACATACATACATACATACATACATACATACATACATACATACATACATTACATACATTACATACATACATACATACATACATACATACATACATACATACATACATACATACATACATACATACATACATACATACATACATACATACATACATACATACATACATACATACATACATACATACATACATACATACATACATACATACACATTACATACATACATACATACATACATACATACATACATACATACATACATACATACATACATACATACATACATACATACATACATACATACATACATACATACATACATACATACATACATACATACATACATACATACATACATACATACATACATACATACATACATACATACATACATACATACATACATACATACATACATACATACATACATACATACATACATACATACATACATACATACATACATACATACATACATACATACATACATACATACATACATTACATACATACATACATACATACATACATACATACATACATACATACATACATACATACATACATACATACATACATACATACACATACATACATACATACATACATACATACATACATACATACATACATACATACATACATACATACATACATACATACATACATACATACATACATACATACATACATACATACATACATACATACATACATACATACATACATACATACATACATACATACATACATACATACATACATACATACATACATACATACATACATACATACATACATACATACATACATACATTACATACATACATACATACATACATACATACATACATACATACATACATACATACATACATACATACATACATACATACATACATACATTACATACATACATTACATACATACATACATACATACATACATACATACATACATACATACATACATACATACATACATACATACATACATACATACATACATACATACATACATACATACATACATACATACATACATACATACATACATACATACATACATACATACATACATACATACATACATACATACATACATACATACATACATACATACATACATACATACATACATACATACATACATACATTACATACATACATACATACATACATACATACATACATACATACATACATACATACATACATTACATACATACATACATACATACATACATACATACATACATTACATACATACATACATTACATATTATCTATACATACATACATACATACATATACTACATACATACATACATACATACATACATACATTACACACATACATACATACATACATTACATTACATTGCATTACATTACATTACATTACATTACATTACGTTACGTTACGTTACGTTACGTTACGTTACATGACATTACATTACATTACATTACATTACATACATAACATGACATAACATAGCATAACATAACATTACATTACATTACATTACATGACATATCTATCTATCTATCTATCTATCTATATATATATATATTGGTACCCCAAATGGACCTGCACCTCATCAACACATGCTGTAAAGTACAGTGTGCTTGCGCATGTGCAATGTGCTTGTCGCTGAAAAAGGGTCAAACTGAGCATTGACCAAGAATCGAACATGAAAATGCCCACAAAAACATCAAAATTGTCCAAAAGACCTGAAACTGTGTTGCTCCTGGATCGCAGATCAGAGTGAATATTGAACGTTGTTTGAAACGTGTTCTGCGTAATCAATAACATTAGATCCAAAACAAATACTTCAAGCTGTGGAAAGTAGAGAAAGCTTTTGGGGTTGGCCAGGATGGCGAAGGCTCTCCAAAACGTTTAGGGGGGATCTTTAGTCTTGATCCAGGGAAGAAACCTTCAAGTTGTTGGGAACACGTTGAAGCTTCTTCGGGGACCTTGAAGGCCGGCAGGATTGAAGATTCTCTAAAAAGTCTAACCGTGAAATCTTCAATCTTCAATCTTCAATCCAGGGGAAAATGATGTTAAGAAATGCTGGAGAAGCATGTGATTGCATTTGTTTGTCCAGAAGCAGACCCATTTCTTGTTGAAACTTGTTTCTGTTGTTGGCTTGGCTCATGGAACCAGAAAGGGAAATTAGCACATTTGAATTTCAAATTGGACTTCAACTTCATGTAGCAACATCAATAACTGCTCTCTATATGTTGTTGGAATTCGAAAAATCATAAGGAAATGCACTCGGCTGAAGTTGAATTTTGTGTGAACTGCAAACAGCTTGTGCTGCTGGATTTTCGCGGAAATTAAATCAAAATATTGGAGGCAAGCATGCAAATAGTTGTTAAGCAGTGTAAAGGGACTGCACAAGGACATGGCGCACCTCTAAAACTGACTTAGATGTCAGTTTCTAGCAGCAACTCAAATACGAATGAGTTCTTTCCCAAATCTACGTCAAAGTCATAACTACCTAGAGAGGACCTCGAAAAAAATATGAAACTCCAGTCTAATCAACCACATAAGGGAGCCGTTGCATCAGAAGCGAGTCAACATTTGTTGGACGCGTTCCCTAAAACAATACGAGTAGTCGCCATACTTGTCACACGGCTGTGCCACATTGCCCCGTGCTGGTCAGCTAAATCAAAAGAGTTGACTGGCTTCATCATCCCTGCACCACGGTCGGGCCGGACAATTACACCACACTAGCACGCGTCTCTTGTTTTCGGGCATATCAGTATCTACTTCTGAAGAAAAGGATGGTGGATGAGTGGAAGAACGTGGATAGCGCCTCTCATTCGGGAACAAACATGAAAATGCTGCAAGAGAGCGACAAACTTTTGGATGAAACGCCAGAATGATGTGTTTCTCCACCACATGCAGTATTGCAATACCTCCCTGTTAGAGACGGTCGGTGCTGTCATGTTGAGTCGAAGGGCAACGAGACTGTGCATCCAGTCAAAAGCCACAAGAAGCCTCCGCCCCTTCCCCGCTTCCCCACCTTGCCGTAGTTGCCAAAGATCTCTTTGAGATGATCTTCATTGACCTCGTGGCGTTCTTTTGGAAACGTTCACTGCTAGGCTTACGCTTCAAGGTCCCATCGCAAAGGGAGACTCTGGTTTGCCTGTTGCTCACCTTGTTTGCAAGCAACCCCCTGGCAAACCTGCGCCGCCCTGCTTAGGGGCAGAGCACACAGTGGGGCTACGGCATTTCGACCCAGGTTGGAGACGGCCAAGATCTTCCTATCTTCGCGCCTGACAAATGCAAGCGGTTGAAGCAGCTTTCAGGCCAGAAAAGCATCGACCGCGTGGCTTTGAGGGGAGGGAGGCTGAAAATCGAAGGCACGAGCGGCAAGAATCACGAAATGTGAAAGCCCGAAAATCGCCCGGGGTACCTGCACGTGCGCAGGCACGCTTCAATCAGTCATTCCGTCCCTCAGTCGAAAGTCTCCGAACGAAGACAAGCTGTCGATCATGTCTTGCCTGGCATGCCCATGAACCCAAGCCTGCAAGCTCGCCACCGCAAAATCCTCACTAGTGACTTGAAGAGCTCCCTATTCTCAAACCTTCCAACAAGCTATACTGACCAGCTCGGAAACTGTTCTTGCCTCCTCTCGCGGTCCTTGCCGAGGCTGCGGCTACGATCCTTGCAACAGCAAATGAGTAAATGTGCTAAAAAGAGAGTTCCCTTTCAACCAACCTGAAAAGGGTAACCTCAAGAAAAAAACAACACACAACGTGGGAATGCGTCTTAAATTTGGGGCTCTTTCATACAATTCATAGCCAGATTGGATCCATTGGCAAAGAAGGGCCCTCCTTCTGGTCTCCTTCCGAGACAAACACGGACACACTCGAGGATGGACTCGGACGAAACCGTGATATGGACATGTGTTCCTGGGATGGCATCTTTGTTTTTCTTGCAAGCATGTCAAGCGAAGGAGTAAGCCTTCTGTACCAAAGCCCTGAACCAAACAAGCGAAGCTCCAGGCAACATGATCAGTCCCAAGACCGACTGCAGGGAAGCTGGAAACTGTTCATACTAATATCAACAAGGAACTGCGAATGGTCATGCTGCCCGCATGGTCAGTAATCCAGAAAAACCAGAAAGTGGCCTCACTTCATGTTGCCTGCACGACCCGCTGCATTCCCTGCTGGCATTCACTCAAACCCTACAATGCCAACAAGGCGCTTCTAGCAAATGAAACCCCTAAAAGGGTCAACATGGACCTGATGCTTCATACCCGTTTTCAAATCAGACTCGCAAGCTCAGCTCGCGCCTGAGTTCTACGCTTTGAAGCTAGCAACAATATGCTTGGGGGGAAGGCGACTGGGGCTGGCAACCTTCAGGACTTTGACAGCTCATCCATCCCGTGTGGTGCAGCTTGGGACCCGCGCCCTGTCTCGTCCCCGGTCCTGGGGTTTTCAATCGGTGCCAAGCCCAGCATACATGTGCTCCCTCACATTGGGGACCCAGTTGTTGAAATACAAAGTGAACAGGCCACTTTGTGTGATTGTCGAAACGATTTGCAAAGTATTGGGCACAACTTCCCGATCTAGCAGATGCCCTCCTGCTTGTGGTTTCCTTGCAGTGACCAAATCAATTCAGCATTCCAACCTGAGATTAAGCTGAATGTTGCCCATCATAGGGCTGAAACATCTTCCGAGCACCCCCCCATCCACTTCTCCCTCCCGTCGGTCCCTGTCACGGGACTTGTCTCGGCTCTTCTCCCGAGATCGTTCCCGGGACCTCTCGCGAGATCGGTCCTTCTTGGCCTGGCCATGCTTCCAATTGACCCGAGGGGCTCCTTGAAGAAAACAAAAAAACCCTTTCACCACCAGGCCGTTAATGGGTTGTCAATCCGCCAGGATAACCACTCGAACACGGCCATGTTCAACGCTGCGTGCTAGATTCCTTCGTCAAGAATCGAGGAACTGGCCACTAATGCGGCCCGTGGCTCCCCCGATGCAAAACTACTCACTTTCGGGGCACCAGAAGGCAAGCCTTTCCACTAGGACTCGAACCTGGGTTTTGAGAAAGCGCTTGATAACTATGTGTCAACATTTGGGTTCTGAGCATGTTCAGTGATCCAGTTTGCCAGAAGCTGTTCCCAGCCCTTCCCGCTGCCTTTTCATCCTTTTCATCCTTTTCATCCTTTTCATCCTTTTCATCTTTGTCCTCCTTGTCTGACTTGTCCTCCTTATCATCTTTTTCTTTCGACTCAGACTCCTTGGCTTCCTTCACTTCGCCTTCCTCCTTCCTCGGATCAGGCAAACGACCGAGCAGCCATCAGCTCAATGCGTGCACCAACACTTGTTAACACCCAGTAAATCACTGCTCCGTGCTAGCAAATTGCGAGAACCAATGCGGGGGTGGATTTCATTGGGCATCATTTAGTTTGAGATTCATGCCCACTAACCACTTCGGAGGCGATTCCTTATTGAGATTTACACCCTGATCGCCACAAAGCATCGAAGGTTTCACTCCAAGAAAGGGAAAACATTGACTGGGTGACCTTCACTCTACGTCTGAATCCAAATGCCTCCGCGCCGGCCCCCTGTTTTACATCCGGGTAGCTGATTGTCCGAGTCTTTGTCCTTATTCTCCTTGTCGCTGTCCTTCAGGCTTCCATCGAAACACGATGAGGGTTGGGCCAAAGCCTCCGTTGTTTGAACCTCTTTGGGTCTCTCTTTCCAGCATAATCGGGGCACTTCCTCCCTGCAACATGGAACGCCCAAAACTTTCAGGGACCTCCTAGGTTGAACCCAAAAAATTAGGTTCCAAGTGGAGCTTCTTCTCAACATGGACTTGTGTTTGAGTTCCATGTTGATTTGTAGGGGTTCGCTCGTTGCATCCCAGGCACGTCGTCCCCCATCACGTGGACCTGCTCCAATTTGGCACACGCAACCCGCGACTGGCGCCGTGTCTGAGCAAAAATAAACCATCGGCGGCGGGTCCCGGCGTCCCAAGCAAGATCCCTCCACATGAGAACCCCCTCAAGACGATGCGTTGCCAAGTGAAGCAGCACAAAGCCAGGGATTGGTGAAGAAGACTTTCAAACCCACCGGTGCATAGCTAGATGCAGTGAAACTCTTCTTTGACAAAAACAAAAATGAGAATCATAATGCGTGCAATTTTAACATCAACGGACCTGCTTACAACATGATGGTATGATGGTTTACTAACATCACACAGTGGCATGCTATACTAATCGAGGTGCGGGTTGACATCTCTGAATCTGCGCGGACTCTGACCTTCGTCCTGCCTTCAAAGAAAACTGGTCGCATTGCAAAGGTCCCACATGATGTGTGATGACAGCGGATATCGTGTAGGGACGTGAGAAGTTCCTGGCTATGTGCAGCTGTGTTTATTTTCACAATTGTGAAACGCTACAGTACATGTACCTCTGCGAGAATGTGTTGTTTCCGGCAATCGAGGCAAATTGATGGCGGTGCAAAGCATCTGTTGGTGGGGCAGTCAATGGTTTTCCAAAATGCAACAACAGCCCAACTGAGCTTCTGGCTGGATCTCGACGAACGAGAGCAGTCCAAAATGCAATTGGAATGATTCAACCATGACATTGACAAACAAAGCAAGCTCAAAACCAAGCACAACCTGAAACTCAACTCCAGCCTCACCCTTTAGGACAAGACTGATTGAGTCTGGGGGTTGAGTCCAGAGCTGAGTATTCTTGATATTCTAGAATTTGGTCTTTTAGACAAAAGATATCAAACTGGATTCCGATAAAGAACAACTTGATCCTCAGTCCCAAGCCGAAAACGGAAGGGGGAGCGTGTGAAGAAACCAGGAAAGCTGTTTTTGGGCCTGTGTCTGAGCAACCGACAGCCCCTAACGTTCAATTTTGCATTGACTGGGTTTCCTGATATCATGCAAAGCAATGCAAAGGCTTGAATAAGAGGATGGCATTTATTGTGTAGGTGCTCCGGCATCTGTCCTCATCGTCTACATCAGGCAAGAGCTGGCGCACATTTTCTGTGGACCATTGTGGTTCTGCATGTGCAACCTTTCGCTGGCGCATGTCAGAGTACTGTCGCGGCGGCACCGTTCACATTCGTGCGGAGGCCCCGCGCGCGCACGCAAGCGAGCCGTCCCGTCAGTCCGTCAGTCCGTCAGTCCGTCAGTCTATCAGTCCGTCGGTCCGTCAGTCCACCCGTCCGTCAGTCTGCATGCGGCCGCTCCTTGCAAAGAAGCAACAAAACAAATGTCTAGCCTTGAAACCACAACCAAACCGTGATGTGTTACACCAACAAAATTGGAAATGTGATGTGAACTAAAACACGCGAAGAGGAGGCCTGACCCTTCCAACGGACCCAGACTAGGGGCCTGCTTTGACGACGCCTTTATGTGGATGTAGCTCTCAAGCATGCCTCTCTGCGGCCGGACATCTCTTGTTTTGCCTTAAGCAGCTTTAGAAAGATCTTGTGCGCCAAGCCGGCCAGCCGCTTTCCCAGCGCCTTGCACCACCTCTGTGCTTCTCCGGCTTGGATTCTTGTGTTCCGCTTTAACCTTAGCCCGCAGCACGCGCCGGACTGCTGATAGGACCTTGGGGCTCTTCCGCCAGTCTCTGCACTTGTAGTCCGCCCTTGCGTTCCACCGCCCCGGATGATCACCGGCACGTGGACCAGGTACTTGTAGAACTTGTTGCGGAAGAAGCCCAGCCAAGTTGGTCGGTGCTCTCCACCTTGCAAGAAGTTCCGTTGCGTTAGAAAATTGTTGGCGCAGCTTAAGGTCGTTCAGAATGAGCCGGTTGCCGTTGTAGACAACGCTCAGACTGTTTGTGGTCTTGTTGGCGGTGGCAAAGTTGCTGACTTAGGCCGCCAGCCGGGCGCCCGTGTAAGCACCTCCAATAAGAGCGCCCAATTCAGCGTACCAAGCGCGGCTTCTACTCAGTACAGGTAGCAGCCGCGTTAGTCGACAGAAAGCTGCGGCCAGAAGAATCTTGTAGACGGCGAGCCGGACGTTGCAGGTGCAGCAACTCTCCCCAGGTTGACCAAAAAGTCGCTGTTCCAGCCGGCCACTCTTGCAGCTGTCCACGTAGATTCTTGTTATTCTTTTTTTTAGAAAGCTACCCGTCTGGCGGACAACGGGTGGGTGGACGGCTGGAGACGCAGCAGAAGGTGTTCTTACACTTTGCGTTGATCAGCGTGGAGCTGGCAAACAGCTTCTAGCCCAGAAGGCTGAGCGCCGCCCATTTGCGTTTTCAATTACAAAGCGCTCTTTAAAGCGCTTGTAGAACTTTCCTTCTTTGACTTTAGATAGTAGACAAACAGAAAACTGTAGGGTTCTCTGGTCGCTTGTTTACACAGCTGGTAGAGCTGCTCCTTTGGCAGCAGGGCGCTGCAGCAGCAGAGGAACCCGCATGGCGCTGATGAGTCTCAGCTTCTGGAAGCTTACCCAGGTGCTGATCTGCATGTGCCGGCCGCGAAGAAAGAGCGTGTCCAGGGCGCCGTTGGTTTGTCGAGCCATATCGTCACAGTTTATCAGGACCTATCCAAGACGCTTTGCTGGTCGGCGTGGACGTGGTGCGCTGCAGGTGCAACGGCTGGCCAACGTCCCCTTCTTCCTGCCGATCTTGTGCCCGGCCGACGGCGTTGGGCCCGTGGACGGCGTGCTGCGACGCAAGACAGTTCTGCCAAGTTTGTTGCCGTTAGTGGGGCCCGGCTGGTACCCGAAGGTTTTGCTGGCTGCAACGCTGGACCTGAACGTCTGCCGCTGGAACCACATCGTCTTGGGCATCTCCGCGCGGAGCCATGTTAACGCGGCAACGCTGCGGCGCGCGCTGGAGCAAATGGACAAGGCCTGGTTCAAGGGCAAGAAGCATATGGCCAAGCTTAGCGTAAACGCGATACTGTAAGTGAACATACCAGAGACGTGTCTGCGGCAGAGCAAAGGGCGACGGCGTCCGCCAAGGGCGGATTCTAGTCGCTCAGTTCCACTATGAGTTTTACTAACTTGGGCGGAGTGCGTGCAGTGTGCGTCCGTCAGTGGATAGCGCAAAGCTCAGTAACGCTGTTGCGCGTTAAGCGTCTGCCCAAGACAGGACGTGGCAAAGCAGGCTATCTTCGCAGGGAGGAGTACTCGGTGAAGCAAAACACCTTATACCATAGATCTGAGATCACAACTCCAGAAGACCCTGGTCGGAAAGTGCGCGCTGTGCGGCTGCACCATTCTGCAGGCGCTGTGCGGCAATTGTTACAGCAAGAAGACTCTGAAAGAGAGCGCCCACCAGCCTGGAGAGCTAGCGCCGGCGTTATGCAGTACGCCCGGAGCCCCTTGTCTTTAAGGCGCAGGCGTGGTACAGTTTCTTCGTCTCCAACTTCTTGGACGTCTCCGTAATCTTGCGCTGCTGCTGGATGATGCGGCGCAGCGCTGCCTCGTTCCACTCGTCCCAGTACCCTCGGTTTTTCACCGCCAGGTCCTCCTCGATGTACTTCTTGACGGGAATCCAGCTGTTGTCGATATTGATGGAAGGATTAAATATGTAAATTCTCTCAAACACGCCCCTGTACTGCTCCAGAATCAGGCTGATCCACAGTTTTGCCGGACTTGCTGGGGCCGAGGAAGATGCCGGTGCATGGCACCAGGGCACCACGGGGTCCGACGATTGTTTGCTGCTGTATTCTGGCGTGGGGAAAAGCTTGATCTTTCCCGTTCCTTTGTTTTTACTTGCCAAATTCGAAGCCGGGAAGCCGGGCGGCGAGTGCGGGAGTGCCCTGCTATATAGCAGGGCGCTTCCGCAGTTTTGTGGGAGACACCGGGGCAATCCTGTTGCCAGCGCAGGATTGAGTGGAGCAATCCTGTTGCCAGCGCAGGATTGAGTGGAGCAATCCTGCTGCCAGCGCAGGATTGAGTGGGGCAATCCTGTTGCCAGCGCAGGATTGAGTGGGGCAATCCTGTTGCAAGCGCAGGATTGACAGCAAAGCGAGTAATGGTGAAAAAAACACTCCGTCAGCGATGCTGCCTGCTGCTGACGGACCTTCGGCGCTGGCCCGGTCCGGTGATGGGTTTTTTCGGGCAAAAAAGCAAAGTCGGAAGTCGGAATTCCGACCTCGGTGGAAGAGCGAAGTCGGAATTCCGACCTCGGGCGGCGCAGGCTCGGCAGGCTGGAGGCTCCGATGCCGGGCAGGTGGCGCGGCCGGATGGAGGCTTCTATGCCGGGCAGGTGGCGCGCCAGGGAGGCTCCGATGCCGGGCAGGCGGCGCGGCCGGGCGGCGCAGCGCCAAGCCGTATGACCGTATGACCGTATGATCCGTATGATCCGTATGACTCGGCGGGCAGGCGTGGCTCCGATGCTGGGCAGGAGTGTGGCGCGCTCGGTATCGAAGCCTCCATGTTGGGCGAACCCGTAGCCTGGAAAGCGGTAGGATTTAATGTCCACCTTATGGACATTAAAACAGGTGATCCGTATGACTCGGCGGGCTGCGCGAAGTCAAATATTCTCTGTTTGTGAAGACACACAACTAGAGAAATAAATGAGTCAGCTTCGGTGAGTCAGCTTCGGGCGCGGTGAAGACAGAGCACTCTCCTTTGCAGAGCACTCTCCTTTGCAGAGCACTCTCCTTTGCAGAGCACTCTCCTTTGCAGAGCACTCTCCTTT